ATTATGAAGAAGATGGAAAAACTCGTCTGCCTTTAATACGTAGTAGCATGATAGGAATTATGCGAAGCAGTAGAAAAGTTTGCAGAGCTACGATTAAAAATCAGCAAACGAACTATTCAATCCACTCATTTGCGCACAAGGTTATAGCAATACAGTTTTCTGAAATAGAAAACAGTATTCTTTTAATTAATTACCTTGCAAGCAGTAAGAAATTAACAAACATACTTAACATTTTTGGACCAATTGAATGAAACTTGTAAGAAAAGATTGTTTCAGAAAAGAGGAAAGTATGCTTTCCATTAAGCAATTTAAGCCAAGCAAAATAAACTTTCAATTATAGCAGCACATAAATTTAAAGGAGTATCTAAGAGTATCTAAGCAAGTCATTTCATTAAGAGCGAAATTTGCAGTAAGCCTTAAAAGGGAATTTTAAAATTTACTTTCAAAATAGAAAAATTTTTTAAATGTTAAACGAAAATGCCCGATACTAGCATAAATAAAAGGGAGGGAACATTTAATAACCATCCGTCCTTAGGCCTATATATAAAAATTGCAAAGAATTTTATTATCGTAAGCATGAGAATGGGCCTATCAGGACTCTCGTCTAGGTCATAGGAAATGTCTCGACGAAGTTTTATATTAACATTTGGTATGGCTTGAAAAGCTAAGATTTTTAATTATTGCGACGTTTTGAGCCGATTAGAATAATTTTTGTATTGAGCTTTCAGATGTCATTCACAACAATTTGCTTAAAAAAATTTCAATCAAAGCCTGCTATGGCGTGTTTACTGTACTTATGTTCAAACTTGATCTACAAAGAGATTGAGAGAAAGAATAAGTTTTCGCGGCCCGTTCCGTAACTAAGCGATAGAAGAACGGACAGGTGGAAGATCACTACCGAATCGAGTTAGAATCTTACGACATTAGGATTAATTCAGTATGGCCGCAAAATTCTAGATATAAAGTTCAACAACGTTAATAATTTCTTTTTAATTTGCATTAAAAAAATGAGATATATGGCTGCAAGTTTATGTTTGGCCGGCAAATTTGTTCACCTCTACTGAACATAAATCACGAAAAATATGAGGAGTCTTTTTATTCGCCGCAAATTGTTGTCTAATTGCCTTTTCATTCAAATGTACAAAATTAGGGGAAAAAGTCACATTTTTATGTATTCCAGTTGTGTTGTTCTAGTCTCCATTGTCTATTATTCAGAGAAGTCTATCAACATATTTTCATGACTTTTGCCTGAAACTTTGAAGGATCAAAATTAGAAATCAGATATTACATGTCATACAATTGTAGTTATACATTGGCTCCAAGATCAACGTTTTATATCCATCACTTAAGGGATATATATACTTAAAACGATATTCTTCTCAGTTACCGATTGCTACCATTTCTGCGCATATTGTATATAGTATGTGTATAGTGTGGCTGCCGGTGGTATAAGGCCCATGTTTTAATTTTTTTTCGAGTTTATTTCGTTAACTTATACTGCGAAAGGCAACAGGCAGCACGTGGGAAAAGATTTTTTTCCGATGTTGGTACATATGTCTCTAAGGAACATAGTCACGAATTATGAGGATAAGAAGACCCACCGGCGGACATGGTCAAAATTACTCCGAAATTGTTAACCGTTCCTAGTAAACCTTGCAGATTTTTACATTATTCTCAAAGCTGTGTTATGTCTTAGGACAAACTTGTGTTATCCAAAACAACAGACGGTCTTAGTTTACTTTTGAAATACCAAAGAAGTTCGCTTTCTGTAAAGTAGGACTTGTTTCACTTCAGCTTAAGAAAAATTATGAATATCACCCGTCGTTCCTAAAATGAAAATCTCCATACATTCGGAGTTATTTGCAATTTTATAGGGAAAGAAAATTCTTATCTTATCGAAAATAACGCGTATCAGATATGTGCACTGTTTGTAGGTCATCTTATAGATTTTTATTTTTTCAAAGACATATCCCGATCAAGATATTATTTATCGTTGTTCAAATCGGTATATATGCAGCCTCGCAAAGCAAATAAAAAATTTCATTCGTAATCAAGCCGATAGTATAATTATTGGCCACACATTTACTTTTGCATAAAACATTTGTGTCATTGCAAATATTTTTTCATAGCGATGCGCTTTTTAATTTATTGATGTAAAATTATATTTTATATTATTGTGACTTGAGTGTATTCCATAATTCTTTTAGCGTGTTATCAACGAGATTGCTTAAATTTTTTTATTAAAAGTGTGGCATGCACCAAAGCATGGCGAAAGGATGTTTGTGCTTAAAAATGATGTAAATAGTTCTAGAAGACTAGAGAAAACGTCGACAATCGTTTGATGTATGGACGCATTAGCCACTGATGACTTTATACTTCAAAGACATAACAGCTATAGAAGGAGAAATTTCACACGAGAGAAGATTTCTTATAATCTTTCGAACATGCTGCAATCCGAATATTCTAGTTACAGCTTACTTTTTAAAGGGTAAAATAAACGCGAGACTAAATTTTTAAATCAAAAATTTTCCTTGTTTTAGAATTTTAATTAAGAATCTTAGATTACCAGGTCTTCATTTTCATATTTATCAAAGGGATTGTAATTATTTTATCATATTTTCGGGACTTCTAAACTATTATACCCATCGCTAAAGTTTGGGGGTATATTCATTTTGTTTTATTTTTATATTGTATGTAAGAACTAAAAGAAAGCTTTGGAGACACTATAAAGAATATATTCTTGATCAGCGTGAAATTCTGAATTGAGTAAGCCATGTCTGTTCATCTTGTGTTTCCGTGTGATGTGTATCGTTGACATTCGCCTGGTTGCGAGAATGAAGATATCGACTTCAAATTTCGTTTCTGTACACAGGTTGGTATTGGCAGAAGCGCGCAGAGAAACATACACTGAACGCAACTCCGTTTTTTTTAACAAAAATTTGTGGGTTTTGGCTCGTTACTCGCGTATTATAAAAATTAGACAGCAGAAATTTTCTACAGTCGCTTTACGAAACACTCTACTCTTGACGTGCACAAAAGGAAAAAATCGGCCATGCCCATAAAAAGCCGTAGGTGATTAAAATTTATTTTTTTTCACTTTTTTGAGGCTTTATGCTTATTTATCATAACGCAAACAAGACAAAATGTTTAAAATTACTTTCTACATTCCTTAGATGAAGATATGTTATCTGCTTTAAAATGGGTTAATTCTAAAATCAATACGGTAGACACAGCGACCTGGTGGCTTGGTTCTTTATTAAATAATAATAATAATAATGGGTATCGTATAAAACAGCTTGGAGAGTAGAATATGAAAAGCATAGTGGTGGCTATGGGGATATTCAGCCCCCTCCGAAAATAACCTTCTTACTTCTTTTATTTGTATCCTTCCGTTGACCCATATTTCGGTTTGTTTGTTGCTGAATTTCTCGAAACCTCTCAAATCTAAATGGAAATCCAGCTTTAGCCATTTCCATTTAACATGATATTGCATCGAAAAGCGTGAAATTATTAAAGAATTGAAAGAAACTTTAAGAAGGATTCATATTTATATACTTTTTCTATGAAATTGCAAATTCTAAAAAACATTTAGTCGGAATTTTGCAGATGTTGACTTTATAAATTTAACTCCGCCGTTTTCTAAAGGAGACTATATGATATACTGTAGAGTGCTGAATAAAACTGTGACTTTTTTATTTGCCAGTAATGTCTTTAAGCTTTACACAAATTTTTTTTTTTGTGTAAATTTTTTGCAGCATGAAGCAGGTGCAGTTCTGTACCAAAAAAAGTCATTTCCGGGAAACTTTACCTTTTTTGCGTAATTCTTTAATGCAAGATAGACGAACTACTGATATCGACGATAAAGCTCCTTATCCATGGCGGTTCCATTTGGGGGGTGCAACTGGGCGTGGCGTATAACAGTTTTTTCCAATCCAAAAGCCATGATATCGTGAGTTTTCAGTACAAAGAAATTTCACCCTGTTATCAGCATACGTTATCCCTTCTAATTAGCGCCGGTTTCAATAAATGACTTATCACTTATTCGAACGGTGCCTCCATAAACACAGTATTGTGAATGCACGGTAATGTGGATGTGAAAAAACCTTGCTTTATTTTCGCAGGGAATTCATATGATTTCTAAAACATAGCACGGTAGTGCCAAGCGCCTTCAAACGTCAAAAAAAAAGGTAGAATATATAGATATAACCATCACATATCGTTATTCAAAAAAAAAAAGAGTAAAATCGATCGGTTCATTAAGAATTCCGAGTTTAGCGAGCACTTTATAAGAAGTCTAATACAAATTCCGAGTGGCTTTATGAAGATTTTTTCGATTCGATGATAGAAACGATTTAGACTCCCTCTCTTATAATATTTCCAGCCTTTACTTTTTGCGTAAACCTAAGGCATGTTTTAAATGCCGAAATTTCTAAAAAATGTGACTACAACGACTATTCCTCAGACCTCGTCTCAGATTCCAGCTTTAATCCAAAAAAATTTCTATAAACTTAATTTGGAAGACCTTATAAAGACATTGCAACTTAGGTCAAGATAATTTACTATAGAAGTTGTCGAGATTTTTCTTAATGTTCTCAATTTGCAACCGGACGCATTTTGCAGCCCCTGATAGATGTTTGCAATAACTTTCGAAAAGCTAACTTTTATAAGACGTAATCCATTATTCGAAGCTATTCAATGCTTCTTAAGCTAAAACGAGCTAAAAAACGAAACATATAAGGACGTATTCAAATCGATTACAAATTTCATTTCGATCAGCGGCGTATACACTTTATAAGGTGTCGACAATGTGTTTGCAGGCTTTGTAAATTGGTTGTATATTTTTGAGCTTCGTTTATAAATGCGAAAAAAAACTTAAACAACTCTTATGCATTTTTATTCAATCATATTGCTTAAGCCTACGGATAATAATATAAAATTAAAATGTAAAGAGATTAAAAATATATATCGTTATAAAACGAACCACCACAGTTCGTACTTACCTGATTCAATTCGATGGATATCCTTTGCGCTGGCATTAGTAATCCAATTATGATTTTCGTTATAACAGTTTTATTTTTAATTATCTGAATTTTGGATCAAAATTGAAAATTCTCACTGATGTCATATTAGCCAACATAATTAAATTTCCACTTGAACGTATTCAAACGCTTGCCGAGCATAGTAGTGTGAGCAGATTATCTTATTTTTTATTTATCTTTTATTTTCCCGTTTTCACAGTTTTAATAAATTATTGATTTTATTATACACTTTGCCCATAGGGGTACGTGTGAACGACATACACATGCAGTTATATGTATATATTATGTGTGTGTGCATTCATTCACATTTATATAGGCTTCCATGCATCAGCAGGGTTAAGTATAAAACTTTTAACCCACTTTTCAAATTTATTTTTATATAAAAAACTTTTTTTTGTTTCGTTTTAATCTTAATAAGTTACTCTGAAAATACCGCTTAATTCGGTATAACCTTTAAAAGCGTTTTTCTCCACGCACTGCACAGCAATTAAAGCTTAAACGTATTTTAAAAAATAACTTACATTACACTGTTTGTTCACATAATGCAGGCATTATTTGAGAGAGTATATATATATATATATATATATATATATATATAGCGTTATGTACTTTATTATATACCGTAAATATGAACCGAAAGCGAGTTCATTCTTTTTCCCTTTTTCAAGCAAGTGAAAGTAATTTATTGCGTTTGGTTAATATATCGCGTCTATTATATGGTTGACGTATGTTTGATATATTCAATCGATTTGTTTGTGTTCGTAACGCAATGTTTTAGTAAAGTTTTCAGTAAACATGTTAGTGTGTATGGCAAGTGAACTCATCATAATCATAAAACACACACAAAGATTCCGTAAACAAACGATATGTCCTTTCAACACAACTGAACTAAACATACTGCGAAAAGGGATGAAAATTACTGATGACTATGCATGGAAATGGGGATGCATGAGAAGTGAATGTATGACTATTTTCCCAAAAGCTTTTTTCAAAATTTGTGGAATTCGCTCTCTCTTTATCTACGTGTGAGCATTGGCGTTTTCTCTTAACGACATTGTGTTCGATTCATTCATTCAGTTAGTTATATTGCGGAGGCCTTTTCTAGTAACATCATCATAGACTTATTAGCACATAGTAGTCATAGCGCAGCGAGTTGATTTGCTCTCTATTTCGTATCAATAAGAAGCGCTATCGATATAACTTATTGTCCGTTTACATACTTACATATGTACATATGAGCATTCTATTGTCATTGCCCAGTAAAGCAATTACCAGAGCTATGTACAACGATAAGTTTTAAAACGAAGCTGTATTTTAGTGTATAACAATGAACAGAAAACTAAAACGAAAACGAAAACGAAAAAGAAAAAATACCAGCAGAAAAGCTATACTCACCTTGAAGTGAATCTTGGTTACCCACTACTTTAAGCAGTTTTTCATTAATTATTGATCAAATCGAGGCAGTTTCGTATCTATTTTTTCACAAATCCATGCGAAATCTTAAATATCAGTCAACTGTTACCAAATTATTAATTACCAAAAAAAAAACACAGATACTATCATTATCTTGAAGAAAATTATTGTCGGCTTAAGGTGTATTACTACTAATAATTTTTGAGTAAAAAATTTCCTTTTTTTATTTGTTTGATAAATACTTTGAACATACTCAAATTTGTGGGCAAAAATTATTATCCGCAAGATATTTTTCCTTTGAAAATTTCTTTGAGCTATTTCCCAAGCGCGCCGGCAACATGCCTCTCAAACGAATCTCTGCTAGGATGCAGAAGAACTTATGAGCCTGACAGCGATTTCAAAGCTTCTAATACTTCTTCATCTCAAACTTTTAATGTTATAGTGTTGTTATTATTATTTACATTACCAGTGCTTTAAGATTAGTTTTACAATTTATCTCTCTGGCTAAACTGGTAATAATTATAATAATACCATGAAATCAAAAGTTTGGAACGAAGAGTTTGGAGTCGATTATGAATCCGGCTATAGAATTTTGCCGTTTTTTCCCATCGTTTCGACATACCTAAAATTTTAATCGATTGTATCTTTAACGGAGGGAATAGAAGAGGTAAATTTGACGAAATATTCCCCGAAGAAGTCTTCTATGTAGGGCAGTAACTCCAGCCCTCTGAAAAAAAAAAAAAAAAAATATATATATATATACTCTGGTGGAGGGAAAAATAAGTGCGAGTTACAGTTTTCAGTTTTATGCCGTAGAAATTGTAAAACGTAGCTTCCAAAAAGATCACGCACCGTTTTTTCATATGGCAAAACTGTTCAAAATCAAATGCCGGTATATCGCTTGAGCTAGTTCTTGCTGTGAAAAGTTAAGGGAGTCTGCTGGACAGAAAAATAGGAGGTTGCTGGAGAATTTTTTCCCATTTTTCTCCTGTTATATATTACATTTGCTATTTATTTATAAAGTAGGAGCATCTTCTCATTTAAAAATGGTTTTAAAGATATGTTAAGTATCAACAAAAGCTTATAACACGTGCAGTTTAAAAATATCAGATATATCCTAGATATACCGTTAAACGGTTGTATGTATAAAAACTCAAAAATAACGCGAGCTATTGTCCTCAAAAGTAATCGTGTTTACAGAAATGAATCCAAACAGTCAATAGCAGATATAACCGCTGTTGTTTTTAAGGACGTGGACGACGTTAATTGTCGCAGATGTTTGCTGACACATTATACCATACTTTTCGAATATTTTTCCACAGTTGTTTTTTATTGCTAGAATATATGACGCTTTCATCCTTTCAAAACATGATATGAAGAGTGACTTGGCCAGTCAACAAAGTCCAGATTATTCTTCTGCAACCTCGCTTTCACCAAGTTGGATGAAAGCATGATTGGATGAATATACCGCTGAAATTCCATAGCTGTAGCTTATTTTCTTTGACATGCGGTAACGTTACAGGTTCCAAGCTTTTATACACAAATCTATCCATAGTGTTTTCTGGGATGTAGCAGACCGAGACCTTGTCAAGAAAACCAGCCACATATCTTAAGATTTCTTCCGCCGTGCTTCACAATTCGTTTAGCACATCTAATGTATTTTTTTACTTTTGACCGAAATGCACTTCTTGCCGCATCATTTTCAAACAAATTTATTTTTGTTTCGCCGTTCAAAAATATACTTTTCTACTTTTCTTCACTTTGTGGTTTGCATCAATTTTTAGGGACTCAAGAGGGACTTTCCCGAATATTACTATTTTTCTACTAAATTGGCAGAAATCCCTTTTTGTTTCGGGTACAAAAGCTTGTGTGTGAAAATGTAAAAGTGTATTAATGGTATTTAATTCTGCCAGTAATTGATCAAAGGCATTTTGCTCTTAATCTAAGTTCCATGGAAATTCATAAGAATGTTTTCGTCAATGCTTTCTCATGTGTATCAATTTTATACATACTATCCGTATATTGTAGACACTCTATTTTTATTACTTCGTTCATCACAAAGTATATATAGGCCCTAGCGTTAAAACTACTTATTCTTTCTACTGATAAGGATTCCGTAAATTGACGCTCTTTTGGCGAACAAATCAATGCGTCTCTCAATGCAATGGACTCAATGACATTTACACATGTTAGCCGGAGGGCCTTAAAAATATCAAATCCCGTCCTTCGGTATATAAGAGATTATCTAGAAAGCGTTCAGCCTGCAAAAATTAAAATTAAAAATATAAAACCGTATGTTCAAGAGTCGTCTATTGACCTGTATCTATTCCAACAACATACATATTCCTGTTGCTAAAAAACATTGTAATCAAAAAATGATTATATGTAAATTGAATTGCACCGAAAGCGTAGCATAGTCTCTCTGAACATTAGCTGGTGCTTCGGCAGGGAATGTGGAACCTCCGTAATTTTCGTTCGTTATTGATCAATTCCAAAATTACTCGACTTAGGTATGTTCGATCGAGCCAGATTTCTACAAATGATTGAAAGAATGAAATAATCACCGCTTTTGGAGAAAAGCTCAGGTTCTTTCCGAAAACGTGATTGCTGATAGTTCGCTTTTGGTAATATTTTAACAAAATATCCTTCGATTTCTCCGTAACTCGTCGCCCACAACAAAAAACGCCTCAAATTACACTTACTAGGCCGTCTACTATTTGTTCCATCGAACTTCTTAGAACATCATGAACAATATTACGGTATGAGAAAGAAGTAAAAGCTGTTGAAAACAGCAACGAAACACCAAAAAAATTTAAATAACACAAAAATGCTTGTAAATTTCATTCGTTCAATAAAATTGACTGCAGTATTATTAAAGAAAACGCATGACTTTTTAACTCTTTAAAAAAAAAGGCTTTAAATCATCATTGCTTAAAAACTAAGATGTTTTTGTATTGCTTAAAGAATATATAAGAAACGGTATTTACTCATATTTTTCATTTTCTTCTCTTCCCCTTTAACTAGTTAATTAGCAAAAGCCTTTATTTATCAATCAAATAGTTTTCTAAATTAAGTCTTTTGTGGTATTGCTCGTAACGTCTGTTTGCAAATTCACTTTCATCAATTGATTTAGACAAATGACGTAACACGAGAAAAGATATCGGAAAGTATCTGTCTTTAAACTTTGAAGTAATTCAAGATTTGATTGCAGACTGATTACGTGCGAATTAACGAAACAAACAACAAGTAACAAAGAATACAAGACACAAAGTTACAATGTTTTATAAAGCGTTTTCGAGGATCGATGATGAAGATGATCCCGCTTATATTCATAAGTACAATAATACGAACAATAAATTGAAAACAAGTTTTCTCAGCAAACTTACACCTGATTAGGAAAATTCTAGTTTTGACTCATCATTGATTGTCCTTACCAGAAGTTGAATTTTAAAAGCATTTTTGGCTTTTTACGTTTTTGTCTCGCCTGGATTGACTTTCCTCCCTTGAATATATGAATATATTTAAATCTCCTTTATCCTCAATTTATAAGCGGCTTTTTTAAACAACGCTATTCTATTCTCCACGGGTATTAACGTGGATCCAGCATAAAATTTTTCAATTAAATGCCATCATCTGGAACCTTCGTGCACGCTGAGTCAGGTAAATAGATGAATGAAAAATGAACAAGACGTGATTTGTGTTCCGTTTACGTTGTCTTTTAATTTTTATTGATTTACAATGCTATTCGCATGTATTAAAAGTAAATTATTGTCTTATAGACTAGAATGTGTATGTGCATATGTGTTACAGAATGCAAAACCGTGGGAGAAGAAAAAATGCATATCTGAACCAGACGATGGTGGCATCGTTGCCTGGGTTATGTATTGATAAATATTCTGTATCGTTTGGTGATAATAAAACGAGATAAGATAATCTATCTCATCCATCATGCAGTTATTCATCTAACGACTGTTCAAAATAAGGCGTTGTATGGAAAGTGACCGAAAAACTGGTTCGATTCGAATCGTTTTCAATAGCGTTTGCAGTTGGACTACAACACGCCAAAGTATCAAATTTCATCTAAATAC